TCGTCGTAGTAGTAATAGTAGTAGTAGAAGTAGTAGCTATAGCAGTAGCAGTCGCAGTATCAGTAGTAGTTGTAGTAGTAGTAGTAGTAGTAGTAGTAGTAGTAGTAGTAGTAGTAGAGCAGTAGTAGTAGTAATGGCAGCTGTAGTGGCAGTACGAGGAGTAGTAGTAGCAACAGTGGTGGTGGTGGTGGTAGTGTCAGAGTAGGAGCAGGAGTAGGATTGTGTAGGAGTAACTGAATAGAAGTAGGAGCAGCAGTAGCAGCAGCATTGGCATCACCATTCGTAGTTGCAGCAGCAGCAGGGGTAGCAGTAGCAGTGCGACTACTACTACACAATTACTACCACCACTGTTGCTAATTAGACCTTATCCTCAAAGCTGCTCAGGCAGCCCAGCATCTCTTGATACGGACAAACCTTTAGGTCATAGAGAATATGCAGTCCAATATTATATAGCTTTACTATGGTTCCCTGCATTCAGGAGTCGTGGGCTGTCAGGGTAGACGGTGAGTGTGTAAAAGCGAAAAAATGGTCCTTGGTCCATGGTGGGTTCTTGTCACAGTGGCGAGCGAGGAAAATGTTGAAAACCTCAGCATGGCTAGCTTGGCTCGAAGGGTACTTAGGGCTTGGAGGTTTAGGGTTTTGCAGCAGGCTTCTTTCTGGCTTTCTAGGAATGAGGGTCTTAAAAGGTATAGGAGTGGGTGTACGATAGGGCTGTGGGATGTGAACGATGCACTTCAAGAGGCAAGCTGAATCAGCTTTTTGGGAACTTTGATTGTGGGGGATTGGGGCTTAGGTGTTGCTGTAAAACGCGTTGAAGGCGCCGGTGATGGCTTTTGTAAGTGATGCTATCAGGTTTGCAAGCTGTTGTAACGGCTTCACGTTGCTATAGGAAACCCGTCGTTCCGCAGGTACCCTCCACACCCCCACCCCTTCTCACCCCCACCGAGCTGATGGTCGAGGGCTCAGGTTTAGGGCTCAGGGTCTCCAGTATTTACGACACCTGTTGGCACTCAAGGTACCAACCTTGTTTAGGGTCGTTCACGTCAGGATGGTACTACTCAGGCTTTACATTTACCGTCTTTGGTAGGGTTCCGTCTTTTCTAGAACTCCCATGTGGGTCGGTCTTTTCTCACGTGCTGTGCCGCAGATGCGCTGATTGCAGCCACCATGCCTATGTGTGTGTGTGCGTGTGTTTGTCTCTGTCTGTCTGTCTGTGTGTGTGTGTGTTTCTGTCTGTCCGTGGGTGCGTGTACGAGGGTGCATGTACGCACGGGTGTGTGTGTGTGTGTATGATGTATGTATGTAAGTGTCTATATATATATATGTTAGCTTATCGAGTATTTACTTGTTTATATTATTTATTCATACTTGCTTATATTTATTCTATTTCTTTCTCTTTATTTTGATGTATATGCATATTGATGTATATGCATACATGCACGCAGAAGCATGCATGTGTGTGCACATGTGCATGTTTGTATACACAGGTATGCACACACTCACAACACACGTGCTCTCATATTTTATTTCCAGCCTTCAGCATATCAGGACCGTTCGGCAATACATGCTACTTTGTATGTATATGTATGTGTATATATATATATGTATATATAGGGTGATACTGCTGATTGATGTATCTGATGGTTATGTACATACATATACATACAAACCCACATGCATATAAACGTGTGTATACATATATATATATATATTTACATATGTATGTATGTACGTATACCTGCATGTGGGTCTACATGTGTGCGTGCTGTTGCGATACATAAATGTATGTTGTAGCTCACGCGATAGTAAACTTTGAATACAAACAGGCATTCAGCCAGAGATCATGACAAAACAGAAAACCGAACTCCCCAAACCTTAAGCCCTCAAACTCCTTTCTACACACATTTGGGACCCCTGTCAACCCCTATAGAAAAAACTTGAGCCCAGTCAACCGATGCTATAAACTCCTATATTTCAAGCCCATCCAAAATCCTGACTCCCTGTGTTTCCGGCGCACTTCCTTTCTTCGAGAGAGGCTTCGCCGGCCTGGGGATTCAAGATGTTTGTTTTCTGGCTTGGGGGGTTGTAGGTTTTTATGCGTAGAGTTTAAACTTTTGTATTGGTATCGGGATTGTAGCTTAAGGTTTAATGCTTTGCAAAGCACCATGTCACTTGTATTTGGGATTGGGGTGTGCGGCTTGGCGATGTAGAGCTGTGCGGCTGCAGGGTTGAGGTGCTCAAGACGGTTTAGGATTGCAGCAGTTGCGGACCTTGCCAAATTCGTGGCTCAGGGCTCCTAAACCATGCCCTGATGGGTAGATCCATGACCCCAGCTGAGGATATCCTAAAATTTTGCTTATGACATAGCAGTCCTCCAATGCCGAAGCCCCAAACAACAAACCCTGACCCGAACTCTCAAGCCCCGAAGCCGAAACAGTAAATCCATGCATTCTATTGAAGATCCTGACATAGATTCCCACACGAGGATCCCTAGTGCCAGGACCTGTATTTAAGTCATAACAAACCCTTCGTACTTAGACACCCCATAAACCCCTAAGCAACGCTTTGCAACCCCCTGGAAAGCCCTATCCAAACCCTTTGAAACAACCCTTGTAAAACCAACAAAACACCCGCGGCCCTTTTCGAGAATACCAAGGGTGGCGCCCAAAGAGGGAAGCTGTCAATTTCACCTGCACTATATAAGGTTTTCCAAGGTCAATACGGACTTTACAAGCGTTTACGAGGTCTTCCTAAACATGCGAACAGTTTTGTATATACGTTACATAGTGTGAACATGGGTTCATGATACTCAGACGGTTCTTGTCGTGCCGAGAGGCTATTTAGGGTTTCGAGTCTTGGGTTTTGGCCTGATTGACTTGGCATATCCATATGTCACCATTGTAGTGAAGACGAGGAGGACCAGCACGACCACTGACAACACCAACCCCAAGTGTGGCAGTAAGTACGATACCCACAGTCCCAGCCAACAACATACTGCCAATCGCAAGCGCCGGAATCCTGGCCAACGCATTCTGCTAGTAGTAATCACTAGTACTTAGGTTGAAAACCTGAAATACGGTCGTCGGTCATAGAGTCAAGGACCTCAGAACCAGCGACATAATGACAATAAGAAGAGTAATCGTAGAAACAGTAGTAGTAGTGATCGTCGTAGTAGTAGTAGCAGTAGTAGTAGTAGTAGTAGCAGTAGTAGTAGTAGTAGTAATAATAATAGTAGTAGTAGTAGCAGTAGTAGTAGTAGTAGTAGTAGTAGTAGTAGTAGTAGTCTGCTACTACT